CGTCCGGTCGTCCGGGCCGGACGCACGGGGTCTCGTCCGGCCGCCGGGACCGTTCGCGCATGGTGTCGTCCGGTCCGGCCGGTTGGACACACATGGTCACGTCCGGCCCGGCCGGCCGGACGCGGAAAAAAAATAATAAAAAAAAATTTTTAAAATTATTTATAAAGTAAAAAAATATAAAAAAAATACATGGTTAATCTTTAATGTCTTGCCGATGTCACAGTATTTTTTTGGTATTTTTTAAAAATTTTTTTGACGGTCAAAAGAGCCGTAGAAAAACGTAAGGAAAAAAAGTAGAGAGAGAGAATAGAGAGAGATAGTAAAGGGCAAAAACGTAATTGGAGGGGGGCGGTGACTAGTAAAAGGGGGGCGGTAAATAGCAATCCACAATGCGTATTTGTAACATGAAATATCCTATGTTTATATTATTAATGTGTTTGATTATTTAGTTAGCTTATAATTTTTCTAATTAAATAAGCCATAAAATTTAGTCAGCAGATAAAATTAAACTTTCAACAGCTACCAAACATTTATATTATATCGACTAGTTTTTCAATCACAAGCTATCAACTATAAACTCATATTCTTTTATATGTTATCACTTAATTTATTAGTTAATTATTGCAGCCAAGTTTATCAAACATAACTTGTATTTTAAAGTGTGTAACTTAAATATGAAAGTACGTACATACATTGAAAAAGTCAATCCATAATCCAGTATAACACAACTTGTAATAAGAATTTGCATGATTGAACCAAATTGTTTAGTAGCATCTGGATTTGTTAAATGAAATAGGTCGCCCGTGAGGGCGGCTCGGCTTGGCTCGTTTGATAAACAAATCGAGTTTAGCTTATTTAAAACTCGTTTGGTTCACGAGACGATCGAGTTTGAGTCGGCTTGATAAGGCTCGTAAATATATTTTATATAATTTGTTTTATAGTTCGGCTTTCGGCATGCTAAAGCTCGATTTCAACTCGTTAATATTGTTAAAGGACTTGAGTTGGAACTCGACTATAAGTTCGTTAAGTTATTCGAATCGAACCGAAATTATTAAAGGCTCGACCTCGAGCTCGAGCATCATGAACTCAAACTAGTCTTGGCTAGTTTACACGTAGTATACTTGTGTGATGAAATAATTGTTTTGCTTATAATTGCACGAGAGTTTCTTGTTGAATTTTTTACCAGAAAATTATAAAAAAGTGTTAAGTTGTGGAAAAAAAAATACAAAAACAAATGAGAGTGGACCATAATAAAAAACTCGTATTCAGTGAATACGTTTTACCATTTTTTTAATTGTAAAACGTATTCATTGAATACGTTTTCTTTTGAAAAATATTTTGAAAAAACGTATTTAAGGAATACGTTTTCTATACAATTTTGTATAGAAAACGTATTCCTTAAATACGTCTTTTTCATTTTTGTCTACTCCCTTCTTTTTTTTTTTTTTTTTTTT